TCAAAATCAACAGGATCTGCGCATGCAGGGCTGGATTACCCAATAAGCAGAATAAACACATGCTTAGGGCACCAGCAAAGCAGGGGCACAAAAAAAAAAAAAAAAAAGAGATTTTACGGTATAGTATTGTTTTTATTTTGAATTACATATGGGAGGACACCATAATCTTTTCAGTGCTTAGGGCCTCTTAAAAGTCTTAATCCGGCCCTGTGTGCATACCTAACAAAAATAATAATTGAGCCCCACTGTCTTATGACCACACCATTGAACATTGAAATCCCAACCCAAGGAAGGCAGTGATACAGATATGCAGTAGACAGCCCACTGCAATACATCCCCAGCAGTCATTCAGGAGGCAGTCTGGCAAATACAAATGTCTCAGCTCCTTAATGTTGTTATCGCAAGGGTTTGCATTTCAACAAGGGTCAGGCAAAGGAGAAGGACTGTTTTTATTTTTGGACACCACAGTTATTTATTCCATCAACTAGTATATATATATTCCACTTCTGAAATGCAATTTAGATTTCCCCTTGAAGGAAAGGAAATTCAATTTATTTCTAGATGTTTGTTTTAAAGAAACCACATCTGCTTAAGTACATAAGGGGCCATTTTTTATTTTTGCTCAGTCCTCATAAAGCTGTTCTCTAGCCTCATAAAAAGCAAGTACATTACCACTACAATTTACAGAAAGCATTCAAAATTCCTGAGCGTTATTTCTAGATCTGGGCAAATTAAATTTAGCCATTGCTATATCACAGGAGAGCTGCAATACTTTGAGTAACCAAGGTTAAAAGGCATTGCCGTCTCAGGGAACTTCAGCGAGATTCAAAGTTGCTGGCTAATAGCACACCTGGGGAGGACACAGGAAAGAGAAGTAACTTTGGGTAGCTTTCGAGTGTGGCTGGCTGGTTCTGGCTGAGGGTACATCTACACTGCAACACTATTTCAAAATAACTAGCGCTATTCCGAAATAATTAGTCTGCATCTACACAGCAGACAGTTATTTCGAAATAGTGTCAAAATACTGTCAAGATGGAGTACTTTTTACTCTGACTCCTGTAACCCTCATCGTACGAGGAGTAAAGGAAGTTGGAGGAAGAGTGCTCTATTTTGAAATAAGTGCTGTTGAGATGCTCCCTATTTCGAAATAAGCTACATAATTGACGTAGCTGAATTTGTGCAGCTTATTTGGACTTACACCCTTTAGTGTAGACGCATCCTTAGTAATGGTCTATGGGTCATATCATCTCCAGGTCGCCAGTTTGACTCCAGCTGTAGCCTCAGTGTTATTCCATCCCCACTTAGTAGCCTTGAACTGGTTGTCTCAGAGCAGTCAGTTCCTTAGACATTAGTCCACATTACTTTTTAGCAGTACGTGTCTTACTACAGATGCCATGCACTGAGAAGACTTACCCCTGGCAGGGAGCTGACAGATTTGTCGGGCCCTTGGGGAAGGGGGGGGGGGGGGGGAAAAAGAGGACACTGTGCTCCTGGAAGGGTCAGGGACAGAACTGGGGGCAGCCCCCCTACCAGCCTGCTACAGTCTGGAGCACCCTGCCTCGTGCTCTGGAGACAATGTAAAGGGCCCGGGGCTGCCATTGACAGGATCCCAGACCCTATGGAATCGCCCCCCAGGCACCAGGAAAGTTGCCCTCTTTGCTCCCCCTGTTGTTGGGCCTCCCCGGGAGTAGTCCCTATAACCAGAGGTAAAATTACACGGCTCAAGCAATGAAGGGTGCAGGTAAAAACTTTTACTGATACTGTCGTACGGCCATGGGGGAGGAGAGTATCTTGCTGTCAGACAGACTTCAGAATTCTTCAGGCTTTTGGAAGCATTTAGCTGCAACAAAAGGCTTAAACTTGGGCCCCCCATCTAGTGGGTACTCTGAAAGATCTGCTAAGGGTTTAACACCTCCCACTCCAAAAAAATTAATATCTCCCCAACTTCCATTCCTATTGAGTGATGCCTCCTCCAGAGACTCCGTCGGGGCAGGGTCATTACCCCTCATGGCATGCAACAAACGATGTATGCCCAATCACAAGAGGATCAGCAGAAATTCCCAAGCATGGTTCTTCTGGTGTTTCCTGAGCCATTTGTCATTTGCAGGGGAGGTGTCAATTTGACCCTAAAAGTAGATATTTGACAATGGCAGTGGCAACCAATTCAATCCAGCTCCCACATAGCTAAGATGCATTCATGTCAAAAACGTACAGCCTAAATATATTCCTTTGTTCTTCACCTCTACAATAATAGATGCTTTATTAGTAAATGCAACTGTCAATTAATCCATGGTTGTTTCCCTCAACCCTCCTTCCTTGCTGCTGGCCTCTTCCTCTACTTCCACTGCAAACACATTCAGGGTCTGGCTACACTGTAGGAGTTTTTGTTGGGAGAGGTATGCAAATAGAGCTCGTATTTGCATACCTTCTTCCATTTTTTCCCCTCGGGAAGAGGCTTTGCCGCTATTCGACCCCGTCTACATGGGGCCAAATGTCAGAAAACCACCTCTTTTGAAAGCCCCTTTCTTCCTCGTAAAATGAGGTTTACAGAGGCTTTCGAAAGAGGGTTTTCCCCCCAACATTTGGCCCTGTGTAGGGGCCAAATGGTGGAAAAGATTCTTTCGGGGAAAAAAACCAGAAGATATGCAAATGTGAGCGCTATTTGCATTCCTCTTCTGAAAAAACCCACAGTGTAGCTGTACCCTTAGTGAGCAAGAGGTTAATTTCAGCAGCGAGAACAAATGATGCAATTATTAGAATTTAATTAGCAGTAGCATTTTTGTTGGTCAAAATTTAGAGGTAAAATCTCAGAGTTAATATAATCCTCAAGAATTAAAAAAAAACCAAAAAACGAGCAGATTTTAAAATAAATGGCAAGAAAAATTCATTTGAGAGCCAACTTCATGGTAAAAAAAGTGGCAAGCAATTAAAGATTTAAGGCATAAACTAGTATGTGACCCTAAGTGAAATGGAAAATTTAGAGCAAGTATCACTCATTTTAATGAGCTGCCACATGAATTTAACTAAAGAAGATAATCTTTCTTGGAAATTTATTAATAGCAGCTTGTTACTATCTTCTCGTAATGGCCAAGCATAGTTAGAGATTATATGTAAATATTCGTCTTGGGATGTTTTGAAAACTGATTAGAAATGTTGAAGGAGGGGGTAGAGAAAGCATTTTTGTCACGGAGGTTTGTTAGTAACTAATGGTTTGTTTAGTACCACTAAATAACTTGACAGAATTTGTCTTTATTCATACAGGCCAACATTTTCAGAAGTAGCCAATGACTTTGGTTGCCTCAATTTGAGACACTTTTATGGGGTGTCTCAATTTTCAGAGGAGCTATGCACGCACTTCTCCTGCTGGCTTTACCAAAAAATTGTGGATGTTCAGCATCGCTGCAAACCAAGCCTTTAAAATTTCTAAGTTGGATGACCAAAAACCAATGACTTAAAAATCATTGGCTGCTTCCAAAGATTTTTGTTACAATCCTTTGCATTCTGACTGGGAAGGGCCCAAAACTCTAGAATGCCGTTTCCTTCCACGTAGGCCAAACTTCACCTATGACATCCTTCTGTCCAGGCTTCAGGCTTCCCTGTTTCAATATGAATTTTTTATGGGATGGGCTCCAGAGCCCAATGAGTTTGGCACAGAACTGGGAGTCAAGAACTCTGGAGTTCAAATGATAGCTCTGACAACATCTCCCAGACAAATTGGAACCTCTTTGCCCCAGCTTTTCCTCCTGTAAAATGGAGGCAACTATTCTGACTTACCGTCTTATGTAATAGGATTCTGATGATGGTTTGATAATGTTTGTAACGTGCAGGGGAGATGACAGCCATGTGTGTTCCCTGGGCAAGGGTGAGGGAGGCAGTGCAGCTCTGTGATCCCAGAAGGGGTAGGGCTGGGACTACGAGGATCACTTCCTGTCCTCTCCCATGTTATAATCCCCACTCCCATCTTCCCTGAGCTGATATACGAACCCATTCCCTTTGAAGTTCCTTATCCAGTAAAGCAAAACAAACAAACAAACAAACGTGGCAGCGGCTACTGCTCACTCTCCTTTGCCCAAGAAGCACGATGGGTAAGAGATGTATGCCATGTGTAGCAGCATTAGGGAGATAATAGTATAGTCGATTAACTAATAAGGAAAAGTTTACAGGTTAATGCTATAGACCAGTGGTTCCCAAACTTTTTGGCATCACGCCCCCCTTTTTGATTTTTGAAAAACCCTCATCCCCTTCCCCCACCATAGCAGCAAAGCTTGTTGAGCAAAAAAAAAAAAAAAAAAAAAAGGAACTGAACAGGGCAGCAAAACTTGATGGGGAGGGCCTCGCGCCCCTCCTGGAATTTCTTCACTACCTCCCCCCACGCAGGGGGCATGCCCTCCAGTTTGGGAACCCATGCTATAGACTATATGCATTCTCCTTCCCCTTGCCAGTAAATTTTTTAGCAGGCTGGCCAGCAGCCTGGCTCAGTCCTACCTTGTGCCAGGTCCAGGACCAACCCCTGATGTGGCTCTACATTTAAAGTGTCTTGGGAGGGAGGCAGGCAGGCAGCCTGGCTTAGTTCCGGCTTGTGCTGAGTCTGGGAGCTCAGACCCACTCCTGGATAGGGGCTGCTGTCACCCTGCGCTGCTGCCTCTGATAAAGTGCAGAGTGGCAGCGGGCTGCCCTGGAGTGGGGCCAGAGCGCACTGGCAGCTGGCTCCACCCCCGAGGGCTATAGAATACTTCACTAACCGATAAGAATTCAGGAGGTTAACTAACTATTCAATTAATTCATATTTAACATCCCTAAGCAGCAGCATTTATAATTCTCTAGGACAGGCTCGGCAAATGGCATGCTTCTGGAACGCCTGGAACTCCTCCTCAGCATTCTCAACAGAGATGCTTATGGCCAAATGTAATTGGAAATGGACGTGTCATCACATCCATGGAAGTTGTGCCTGTGGACTAGCTACCCCTACAGGAAACATCACTGTCATTCCGCAGGCAGTTACTTCATCTGTGAATAAAAAAAAGATGAGGAACCCCATGTCTCCTGCTGGCATCTGGGCATCTGTTTGAAAGGCTCATTTCACATTAAGAAAAAAAAAAAACCCTCCAGAATGCAGAAACACAAAACATTTATGACAAAATTTGCTTACTTGTCCTTGGGATCCTCAAAACCCTGAAAGAAAGGAAAAATGAAACATATCAGTTAGGAATCAGAATGACCTTTGGTACAACAAAGAATTGTTCATACCGGAGCTTTCACGGGCTTCATTTGTTATGTGATGATCGAGAGCCACGGCGATATGCCATGTCTCTATATCACTCATCAGATGGATCAGGCAGAAATAAATATATGTCTTGAGTTAAACATATGGAAGTTAAAGGTAAGGGAACGGCTTCTGCTCCTTCATTATTTGTTAGGCCTTTAAGAAAAAGCTACTGATCCAAGTGATGCAATGGAAAACGACTGTGCATACATACGTGGGTCAAAATTCAGACTCACAGGTGGGTGCAACTCCATTGTTATTAATGCACTAAGTATGAATTTAGCTGATGTTGTCTGTTTCCAATCAGAGGAAGGTCTTATGTATTTAGATATCCATTTCTTCCTCAATACTTATTTTTCCGAACTTTGCTCTCCTATGTCTAGTTTTGAAGGCTACTGGTTTTCTTAGTCATTTCTCTTAGAACGGTAGGATTTTCAGCGGGGCTCAGGGCTGGTCTAACACAATGGAACTTAAATGGGAGCAGAATTTTGTTACCAGGTTTGGAAATACTCATTCGTGGAACTTTATCTTGCCAAGTATTTTGTGCAGGCAGGGTCTTTTTAGCAATCAAAACCAGCAGATAATACATTAATGGACTATTTATTGGGGATCCCTTTAGTTAAGCATTACTAACAACATTTTTTTCAAGCCCTTCCCCCCTCTCCTCTCACACTAAAATGTATCTCTACGCATGGAAAGGGGAAACTTCCTTGTATTTTGGAAAGTGATTTAAAATTCACTTCAGGATCATTCGGCTTTATTGAATAAGCTATCTATAAGCCCTAAGAGATGTTTGAAGTGTACCAAGAGAAAAATATGCCTTTATCTGCATTCTGAAATGTTTATTAATATACTTGACAGAGCAGAATCTACTATATGTTTGAGTGTGTGTGTGTCTGTCAATCTATCTATGAGTCTGTTCAAGAACTCCTCCTGACCAGTAAGAGCTTGGACCACCAAATTTCTATGCAGCTTCCTCTTATCATAACTTAAATCAAGGTAAGGGTTTCGTTGTGCCAGGACTTTGGGATGTGCCTAGAATACAACTGTTTTTCATAAAAGAGAAAGGGAGGGGTCTGCTAGCAGGCACAGTTAAACTGTATAATGACCACAGGGGGGCAGCAGGGGCCAGAGAGAGGGATAAGGACGCCTATCACTCCATTGGGACAGCAGTGGAGAAACGGACAACTATCTACTATATATATTCTAGAGAGTTTGCCTGTTTGTGCCTGTCTGTGTGTCTGTCCCCTCAGCCGAGGGACATGCACCCCTTCCCTGGCTATGCGTGCTGCAGTGGCAGCAGCCATGGACAGGTGTTTCTCACCTGGCCCCAAACTGCTGTGGAGGCATATGGCTCGGGTTGTCCTCTCTCCCCGGGGCACCCTGGACACTCAACCCTTCATCCTCAACCCCACCCGATGCAATGATTTAAATTAAGAAAAACAAAAATTATTTCAGTTTACCCCAGGTAAATCCTCTAGTAGCTTCATAAAATAATTTTCACCTATTTTTTCAAGCCTTCAGATACCCAGGTACAAGCCTCACTGAAATCAACAGCAGTTGTGCCCCTGTACACGAGGGCAGAGTTTTTATATACTGTTAAACCCCTCTAGCAAATGTAGTGATGACATATTTAAGATTCCAAGGGGGATTTTTGCCTCTCAGTGACTCCAGGTGAAAGGTGTTTAGTTTACAAGTAAAATGATGGTATGTTAGCTCTGCAATCTCAGCCTGGGTACAGAGATTTAACATGGAACCTTTCCCTATACAGCCTGCTTGCCAAATTTTTCCCATCACTGCACTTATTCAATGACATTGGTGACATTGGCATTGAACAGGCATGAAAGAGGGTGAAAATCTGGCCCTGCAACTGGAAATAAGTTAACAATCTGGTGTTGGTGTGAGACGTAGAACAGAATCCTGAGCATTTTTCTTAAGCTGTTTAGGCTTTGCAGGATGAACAAGAGAAAAAATATTTTTTTGTCACTGAAAGCAACAGGTCTGATTGCCTGTGTACACAGAGCAGATCCATTGAACAAGAAAGTGCCAATTTTACATACAAGCCGCTCCCCGAGTTGCTCACAGTCGAGTTACGACCGTTCGCACTTACGACCAAAGCTCCCATGGAGCTTACGAACAGCACAGTTGCGTGTAACTCAATGGGGTCCAAGTTACGAGCAGATGGAGTTAAGGCCAAGTGTTTGGTCCGTAACTCGTTCGTTACTCGGAGAGAGGCTGTAGTTGCTTTTCAGAGTCAATCTGCAATTTAAAATGGAAACTGCAACTGAAATCCTGTTGTTCAGGCACGAAGAAAGAAGCAACTTCCTGTTCCCCTGCTCGTTACTACTAACAACCTAATACTGAATGGGAAGGAAGCATGTTTTAGCATGCCCAGCAAACTTACTGAGCATGTCTGAGTAAATTTTGCATGTCTAGGTAACTGAGCCAAAGAACACTGTGAGTACTTTTGGTTTAATATTAAATAAGTGACAGAAATATCACTTAGAAATTTGTTTTGCTTAATTTGCTTTAGAGCTGTCAAAGGAGTAGATTATTTTTCACTGTAAGCAATTTTACAAGAGGGGGCTAGAAAGAAAAGCCCACTAATAAGAAAAGATCAGAACATGACTAGCCAGCACACAACAAATGGGGCAGGGATGAACTTTAATGTAAGAACACAGCCAGTGCTTGCTTGTTAAATATAAAATTCACATTTTCAGACATGGGTTTCTGGGAGTTAGGGAACTAATCCCATATACAGGAGCCCAAATAAGTGGTTGGATTTTCAATAGTAGCTGAACATTCTCTATTCCTACTGGCTCTACATGTTGACACTACATACTGGTACTGGACTCCTAAATTTCAAGCACCCACAATTTAAAATGTAGACTAACTGGGTCAATTTTTACAGGGCAGGGCAGAGCAGTGATTCTCATAAAAACAGGTGCACACTTTACCACTGGCAAATGCTCACAGGTCAACAAAAATCTGACAACCATGCCTGTCTATTTGAATGTATAATTAATTGGTTTACACAAGAAAACTTGGACTTTTTTTCTGGCAAGCCCATTTAAAACATTAAAAATAATATTGGTTTAATTCAGATTCTTGTTTAAACACTAAAACATGCTTGAAACACTGGAAATGATTGATGAGACTTCAGTGTTAGTAGTTCAATGTACAGTGGACTTCCAAAATGAAAGACTGAAAAATGCATATTGCAGGTACAGCAAAAATATATTACTCACTTTTTCTTAGGTGACTCTTCTAATCTATTGAGGTTAACTATTTTAGAGTGACTTGAATTTTAATTGAAGGGAAGCTGCTTAAAATTATATTTAGTGAGAACCTCTTTAGCTAACTTCTAGTTAAGTAAATTAAATGATTCACTTCAAATACCCCGTTTTGTATGTATGATGGCTTCTTCATGAGGCAAAGCTCATAAAATGGAATTATTATGCAAGAGAACCTGCAAGCTGTTTTAAAAAAATGCAATTTCTAAAGGACTAACATAATATTAAAGAAAATACCCCTTATTTGAACAGAAGCACTTCACTGCGATACTGAAAATACTGCTCAGGGATTCAGTTTAGAGATGGATGTTAACGGGTAACCAGTTAACTGGTTACCCAGTAAGCCTCACTCTTTATAGGTTATGCTTACCAGGTAACAGTTAACTGGAACCTGGGGAGCAACCCCCTGCCCGCTGTGGGTGGAGGGCTGCTCCAGGTCCCCAAAAGGACTGGGAGCTGGTAGCCCTGAGGGGAGCTAGAAGCAGTCAGGCTGGAACAGTACCCTCTGCCCATTCCAACTTAGTCAATTAACCAGTTAAACTTAATGTTTAACTAGTTAACTAATTAAATGGAAATTTTACATCACTAATTCAGTTGAGATAATTGTAGGATACTTTCCCGTAACATTTTCTCAAGCAGACCTTCCTTAAGCACTTGGCAGAAGAACACAATCAGGGTTTGGAATTTTCCACATACTTTAGGGCTCTGTTCTGCTCTCAGAGGCCAAGTGTATTTTGTGCATGATGCCTGCTGGTGGCAACGACATGCTGTTTTGTGCAATTATAAATAGAGGCTGAATGGGTGTTTATTAAGGACACATGCCCAGGTCCTCAGCCAGTGAGAATGAGGGTAGTTCCATTCACTTGAATGGCAGTGACTGGAGCAATGATGATTTGCATCGAAGACCTTTGGTATTAATTAGACTTAAGTCACTTGTGTGAAAATTCAAAGTGCAGGGAAGAAAACCAGTCCTCACTGTGCTTCTAATTCAGCACAGTGCTGCAAGCCTGCCTGAAGGCTACAGATCTCCCTCAACTTGACTTTAATACAACTGCTGCCAAGTGTAAGATTGGGTCTCATAAAGTCAAAATCCAGACCTCCGTACTACAGCCTAACTGCAATAGACTAATTGACTGAAGGCTCCTCAGACTGGGAATTGCCATATATTTAAACAGCCACTGCTCACAGCACTGGCATTCCGCCAGCAATATATATTCATAGGCTTTCCCCCATGGTTATTGCCATAGTGTCAGTGCATCCCAAAAATGTGTAGTAATATTCGTAATCCTTTACACCGCAACATTGCTCAAAGGTGCTGTCCAGGAACAGAGATCCACTGTATTAGGAGCCGTATGAAACACAGGCAGAGAGACAGACCCTGCTCTGGAGATCTAATGGCCTTCTTGATGGTTTCAAAGTATCTGAAAATTAAAATAATTATTGGTTTCCCACCCAAGTGTCACTGTTGAACTGATTTTTATAGACATCATTGCAACAGCATGGTCTGTTTTTAATTAATCATCAAGTTCAAGGAGTCTTGTGCTTTTTTCAGAGGATCATCACACTCAAACTCTGATGGACACAATGGCTACATCTACACTGGCCCCTTTTCCGGA